TGTAGAGCACGGCGCTGTGTAACGCTAAGGTAGTGGTTCGATCCCCGGGACTACCAAAAAAAAAAAAAATGTATGCACGCATGACTGTAAGTCGCTTTGGATAAAAGCGTCTGCTAAATGGCATATTATTATTATTATTATAATTTCCAGGACATGGTGAAGATTTTCCAGGACTAACACTCTGTCTTTTGTAATCATACCAAACATAAAAATACCATACTTATTTGACTGTGCCAGATTTAATTTACTATGTTATGTCTATTCTATGAGACCAGGCTGTGTATAAAGCGGCCATATACAAGCAGTAGCGAACATACAGTTAAAGTTGGAAGTTTACATACACTTAGGTGGAGTCATTAAAACTCGTTTTTCAACCACTCCACAATGTATTTTAACAAACTATAGTTTTGGCAAGTCGGTTGGACATCTACTTTGGCATGGCACAAGTAATTTTTCCCAACAATTGTTGCAGACAGATTTTTTAAACATATAATTCACTGTATCACAATTCCATTGGGTCAGAAGTTTAAAATACACTAATTTAACTGTGCCTTTAACAGCTTGGAAATTCCAGAAAATGAGTCATGGCTTTAGAAACTTCTGATAGGCTAATTTACATAATATGAGTCAATTGGAGGTGTCCCTGGGATGTTTTTCAAGGCCTACCTTCAAACTCAATGCCTCTTTGCTAAACATCATGGGAAAATCAAAAGAAATCAGCCAAGACCTCAGAAAGAAATGTGTAGACCCCACAAGTCTGGTTAATCCTTGGGAGAAATTTTCCAAATGCCTGAAGGTACCAGTCATCTGTAAAAAACAATAGTATGCAAGTATAACACCATGGGACAACGCAGCCGTCATACCGCCCTGGAACGAGATGCTTTCTGTCTCCTAGAGATGAACGTACTTTGGTGCGAAAAGTGGCAAATCAATCCCAGACAACAGCAAAGGACTTTGTGACGATGCTGGAAGAACAGGTTCCCAAAAGTATCTATATCCACAGTAAAACGAGTCCTATATCGACATAACCTGAAAGGCCGCTCAGCAAGGAAGAAGCCACTGCTCCAAAACTGCCATAAAAAGCCAGACTACGGTTTTGCAACTGCACATGGGGACAAAAGATCGTACTTTTGAAGAAAAATGTCCTCTGGTCTGATGAAACAAAAATAGAACTGTTTGGCCAGAATGACCATCGTTTTTTTGGGGGAAAAAAAGGTGGTTGCTTGCAAGCCAAAGAACACCATCCCAACCGTGAAGCACAGGGGGTGGCAGCATCATGCGTAGGGGTGCTTGCTGCAGGAGGGACTGGTGCACTTCACAAAATAGAGGGCATCATGGGGAAGGGAAAATGTATGTGGATATATTGAAACAACATCTCAAACATCGTCAGGAAGTTAAAGCTTGGTTGCAAAGGGTTTTCCCAAAGATTGACAATGCCCCCAAGCATATTTCCCAAAATTTTGTGGCAAAAGGGCTTAAGGACAACAAAGTCAAGGTATTTGAAGGGGCCATCACAAAGTCCTGACCTCAATCCTATAGAAATGTGGGGGCAGAATTGAAAAGTGTGTGCGAGCAAGGAGGCCTACAAACCTGTTTCAGTTACACCCAGCTCTGTCATTGGAATGGGCCAAAATTCACCCAACTTATTGTGGGAAGCTTGTGGAGGCTACCCGACACGTTTGACCCAAGTTAAACAATTAAAGGGAAATGCTACCAAATTAATTGAGTTATGTAAACTTCTGACCCACGGGGAAATGTGTTTGAAAAAAATAAAAGCTGAAATAAATCATTCTCTCTAGTATTATTCTGACATTTCACATTTTTAAAAATAAAGTGGTGATCCCAACTGACCTAAGACCAGGGAATCTTTAACAGGATAAATGTCAGGAATGTGAAAACTGAGTTTAAATGTATTTGGCTAAGGTGTATGTAAACTTCCGACCTCAACGTATCCCTGATAAGAATATACATCCGCAATGTCCCGGACATCGACTGAACTGATCATATTTCACCTAATCCTGACAGACTCATCACTTTACTACTGTGTTCTCAGGATGGTTATAACCAGTATTGTTATACCCTGTGATACATATAAGACCCTGTACAAAAAAAAAATGCTTTGATGCTGTGGGATCATAATTAAACATCAAACCAAAATTTTGATGTCATAATGGCAGAGGTTGAGATCAAGAATTGTGGTCACACCTGTGCTGTGTTCAATACCAGGTGTCAAGTTTTTCTCTGTCTTCATAGTCAATGAACTGTGAGAAAGATTTTATTCTTCACTCTTCAATCAGTGGTCTTCAATTCAATTACCATAGGGAGTTTTTTAAAATTGGCTGCATAATCACTAGGGAATTTGACAAAGTGCAAAAAATATTATAATTTGTATTACTCCTCCTCACATTCACACTGCCTGGTGGTGTAGTATGACAGTCAACCTGAAGGGGGAACCTAAAAAAGGCCCTGAATCTGAGGATGTCAGACAGACAGAACACCTCCCCATGGTCTACTACTGCATGTAATACAGAACAACATGAAGCATCAACAGTAGGGCTGAGGGTGTCAAAGCTCTGTGATGATAGATCAGCATTGTTCTGCTCCTTACCTTTTACACTTCCCAAAATGACTGGGCTAGTCATGAGAAAAAACTGGCTGATCCTGCATGGTCCCGGCTGCATGCTGCTTTGGTATAACATCACTCTGTTCATCTGTCTCTTCTGTGCTTTGTTCATTTTTTTTATATACATTATTATTATATGTTTTTTGAATATTTACTTATTTTCAGGTGCAGAGCAAAGAGAGTGTCACACAGCCAACAGATTATGTAATAGCCGGTAGAAAGACAACCAACAAAACTCAGTTGTACCCTTTGCTACAACTGATCAATTGCCATATCTCTTTTGGTACAAACAACAAGCAAATGGCAAGCCATGTTTTTTGCTGAGAAAGGATACAGTTGGGGTCGGGGAAACTGCTGCCCGAATTCAAGGAGAGATTCATGCCCGTCTGAATGTCACAGCAAAATCGTCCCCTTGATGATCCAGAGGGGGCAGATGTCTGACTCTGCTGTGTACTACTGTGCTCTGAGCCCACTGTGACAACCGAGGGAAAAAGCTCCCTTTTAAAACTATAGGTTTCACATGTGTCCATAGAAACATACAGTACCAATAAAAGTTGGGACCAAAGCACAATATGTATTTCAATATACTTTATGTACAGTAGTAGACCTGAATTAGATACTCTGTAGGCTGCATAAGTTCTGTACATTAATTACAATACGTTATATACTCCTTCAGGGAACATTTTTTGTAATAGACAATTGCTTTTGGCTACTTTTCATTTCATGTGAACTAGACGAAGCTTTCACTTTGGCTAATGTACTGCAAAAAGTGCTTATATCTAATATTGACGAGGTAAAATTGACCCCTACATTTCTTTACAATCTTTCCTCTCTCTGAACAGGCTCCTCCCTTTTATGTCTGTCACTTGATGGTGATATACAGGCTGAGATGGACATGGAAGAGAGAGAGAGGATCTCTCCATCTTACTGTAACTCACAGTCACCCTCTGTGTGTTCTGCATAACCATGGTACTCTGTCTGATCATCTGGCTGGTTCTTGCTGTATTCTGCTTTAGTATGAGGAACTTTTCTCTAATTGGTTTTTATAATCGGCATCTATCTAATTTTCATTTTTTAAATCTTTCATTATCACTCCCCTTTATCTTTTGTTGTCTTCCAGAGTGCTCAGGAACCAGTTCAACAGCAAACAGGGGGTGTGGGTTGCTACAGAAGGAGGACTGGTAACACTGAGTTGTCAATATAACACCACTGATACTAATGCATATTTATATTGGTACAAACAAGAAGCAAATGATGTCCCTAAACATATGCTGAGCTGTTATTTTTGGATCTGGAGACAACGCTGCAGGGTTCAAGGAGAGGTTTGATGCAAGTCTAAATGCCAAGACACAATCAGTCCCCTTGAGATCCAGAGGGTGCAGCTGTCTGATCTGCTGTGACTACTGGGGCTCTGAAGCCCACGTGACAACAGGATATACCCCCCTTACAAAAAACACGGTGTGGCATGTGGGTGTGTGTACGTATTTTTTGTTGTGTGCCATTTTGTAAGTAAAGGGGAGGTGTTACATAATTGAGGCAGAGGAAAGGAATGACAGTGAGAAAACAGGGGTCATTCTGTCATAACTATACTTGTGTTCACTCTTTTCACTGTGTTAAATAGCACTTACCAGAATGATACTGGGATCAATTTTTATATTTGCACAAGTGAGTTTTATGCTATTCTTCATATCCAATCACTTTGAATGTACTTACTGAAGACTGGAGTCATATTCCTGTGAAGGATCCTTTGTCCATTTTTAATACACTTAACTGAATAATGAGTAGAACTGTATGATAATTTCCTGATAATAATTCCTGTTTTCATAAATGTTTTCCAGGTGGCAGTCATGGGAATGACATTACTCCAACAACAGATAAGGTGTTTGGGTTGGAGGGTGTTGTCATAAAGCTGTCCTGTAACTACTCCTCTGCTAGTAATCTCCAGTGGTATCGACAGGACCCTGGATCATTGTAACGTATATGTCAGAAAGCAGTGCAGAAGGTGAGTTTTAATACTGAACAGCTACAAAATAACAAACATGGGACGCATACTGAACATGAGAAAAACCAATAACACCTAAGGACTGATGACAACAGAGGGTTAATGAAGGGGAAGTAATGAGGGAAGTGATGAAGTCCAGTGTGCCTAATGATGGGGTGCAGTGTGAGTAATGAAGGTTGCCAGGTGTGCCTAATGATGGGGTGTAGGTGTGAGTAATGAAGGTTGCCAGGTGTGCCTAATGATGGGGTGCAGTGTGAGTAATGAAGGTTGCCAGGTGTACCTAATGATGGGGTGCAGGTGTGAGTAATGAAGGTTGCCAGGTGTGCCTAATGATGGGGTGCAGGTGTGAGTAATGAAGGTTGCCAGGTGTGCCTAATGAGGGGTGGCCAGGACCAATGGTTAGTAGACTGGCAACGTCGAGCACCGGAGAGGGGGAGCGGGAGTAGACGTGACAGTCATCTCCCATCTTCCTGCTCCTCACTGGAGTGTTCAAACGCCTCTGTAGTGAAAGCTAAACCTGAAGACCCTCGACTGTCTGTTAAACTGAACGATGAGAGAACCTGTGTGGATCTGGAGATCTCCTCTGCTGAAGTGGCAGACTCTGCTCTGTACTACTATGCCTGGAGCCCCAGTGACAGGAAACCCAGACACACTATACAAAATCGAAATGAAAACACTGAACCTCCCCTAAGAGAAAAATGTTCATTATTAGGTTCTTAAATAGACAAAACATATACATGTAGGCGGGAAAATGAACGTGAATTATTTTCAATAAACAATAATATAAGTTGAAACAAATGAAAAAGTGATAGAAATTCTTTTGGTTTAAATTCTAAATATGTTGATATTTATACTGTAGATTCTAGATATTAATAGGAAAACAAAATAAACTGTAAATAAGAATTGCCTCTGTTGAATAGATAAAATTTTTTACAGTATGCCCTTCAAGAAATGTTTCCCTATGACATCACGTAGACAGATTCAGGTCCTTTTGTCAACTCTGTTGCCCTAAAATCAAGAAAAAAATGATAAATACATAGTTTTATACAATATCCAATAGCGGGAGACTAAGGTAATCATATTTCAATGCAGCCCTGCATTGTGAGGATGTGACAGTGCATCAAGCAGCAGCAAGAAGTCTGCTGTTACTTCTGCTCATCTGACAACTTCTGTATTTTGGGTGGGGCTTCAAAGGTTTGAGAAGAGATGGTCCAATCAAACTAGAAGTAGGAGGATGTTTGTTAGTATACAAAAATCTTGCTGTGATGTGTGTTATCATTTTAACTTCCAGTTTCAGCCACAATGTCAATCCTCACATTTATTTAGCTTTTAGTACTTGCATGTAAGTAATCTACTATAATCAGTACTTTTTTATTGGTGTTATTTAGAATCAAAAGTGTTGATGAGTTGAAAATAGATCTAAAACAGAGTAACAATAGAAGAATATCTGGCAGGTGACAGTAATGGTCAGACCATTGAGCCAACCAGAGAGGGGGTGTATGTTCCAGCAGGTACAATTTTACATTTTCATGCACCTACTATCTGCAGTCTCTCTTCAATGGTATCTCCAGGACCCTGGATCAGCTCCTCAGTAATCCTGCTTATCCTGCATGGTGTTGGGTTTCCAAGGGGCTCCAGATCTGGATCCTCGACTGTCAGTCAAACAAAATGATGAGAAGAACCGTGTGGATCTGGAGATCTCCTTTTGATAAAGTGAAAAGACTCTGGCTATGTACTACTGTGTACTGATGCCCCCAGTGAAAGGAAACTACAAACGCTGTACAAAAACCTAACCTGACACATTCAATAGTTTAGATTACCTACAGGAGATGGTACAATCCCAAGAGGGCGTAGCAGTGCGTCGTGGTCTTTTGGTTGTGGTGTCTGGTGTAATAGCATGTTTTTTGTATTTTTTGTATTTTCGTACAATTCCCTACCCACACTTTTCATCCTTCTACAAAAAACTTCCCGAAACCCGCCTCTCAATGTGAACGGATTCTATTATTGACTTACCTTTTATCTAGAATCTCCAGTTTACCAGGCTAGCCACTAACTACTATTTGCTATTAGCCACCGTTAAGCGGTTTTTCAACCCAGACACCGATTTTCAGCCGGATAACTGAATCACGGACCTTAACCCGGATCGCAACTACTAGTGGCAACCGAAATGAGTTGCTGTTGGCAATCACCACGCCCCTGAAGCAAGCCCATTAGCCTTGAGCTACCTGAGCCAGGCCCATATCTGGCATTCCCTACCCCCTGCTACCGGAGGGGAGTAGCCAGCTAACTAGCTACTTGCTATTGGCCACCGTTAGCGGTTTTCACCATTGTCCGTGGCCTGCACTACCTACCAGCCAGCTCTAGCCTGGACTATTACGGACAGTCTGCACTGTCTGCACAGCGTGTTATCGACCCAGAACATATCGGTTTTTCTGGAATCACTGATTCACTGGATCTTTAACACCGGATCATCGTAGCTAGATAGCTGCAATCAAATGGACGTTGTTGTTGGCTAATCAGCCTTGAGCTAGCCGCGAGCCAGGCCCTTCTCCCGGCTATCTACCTCTCTGTCAACCGGACAGGACCTCCTAGTATTGACACGGAGCCTGCCATAGATAGCTCCTTTGTCCCACCCCCATACACGCGGAGACCGACTCAATCGGTGCCTCCAGAGATGCTATCTCTTTTATCGTTACCCAACGCTTAGGGTTTTCCTCCCCTGTACTCATATCCTTCCATATCCTTTTCTGTTTCAAAAGCCCTGAATCTATTCTACAACGCCCGGAAACCTGCCCCTTTTTCTCTGTAACCCAATGCACTAGAAGACCAGTACTTAAAACCTTTTGCCGTATCCTTATTCTACTACTCTCTGTTCCTCTGGTGATGTAGAGGTTAAAACCCCGGCCCTTAGCCCCCAGTATCACTCCTAAACCTCAGGCTTATCATTGTTGACTTCTGTAACCGTAAAAGCATTGGTTTCTTGCACGTTAACTCCGAAGCCTCCTCCTTAGTTTGAGTTATTCACTGTGTTAGCACCTCCGCCAACCCTGATGTTCTAGCAGTGTCTGAATCCTGGCTTAGGAAGGCCAACAAAAATTCAGACATTCCATCCCCAACTACAACCCTTTTCCGTCTCGATAGAACTGTCAAAAGGGGGGGGGTTTTCAATCTAACTGTAGAGATAGCCTGCAGAGCTCGATCATACTATCCAGGTCCTGTGCCCAAAACAGTTGGCTTCTACTTCTAAAAATCCACCTTTCCAAAATACGTCTCTCACTGTTGCCGTTGCTACAGACCCCCCTCAGCCCCGAGCTGTGCCCCGGACACCATATGTGAACTGATTGTCCCCCATCTATCCTCAGAGTTCGTACTGCTTGGTGCCTAAACTGGGATATGCTTAACACGCCGGCCAACCTACAATCTAAACTAGATGCCCTCAAATCTCACCCCAAAATTATCAAGGAACCTCCAGGTACAACCCTAAATCTGTAAACATGGGCACCCTATAGATATCATCCTGACAAATTTACCCCCTAAATACACATCGGGTGTCTTCAACAGGATCTCAGCGATCACTGCCTTATTGCCTGCATCGTAATGGCTCCGCGGTCAAACACACCCCCATCACTGTCAAACGCTCCCTAAACACTTTAGCGAGCAGGTCTTTCTAATGACCTGGCCCGGGTATCCTGGGTGGATATTGACTTCCCTCTAGAGAGCCAGTTGTTCTTTAAAGTGATTTCCTCCACTAAAAAGCATGCCCATTCAAAAAATCGAACTAAGAAAAGATATGCCCCTAGTTTCTCAGACTGACTGCCTTGACCAGCAAAAACTCCTGGGCGTTCTGCATGCACGAAAAGCCCCGCGATTGAACTTTCGGGAAGTCAGGACAATAACACATCATTAGAAGCAAAGGCAGCTTTTTCAACGAAATTTGCATCCTGTAGCAAACCAAAGGTTTGGGACACGAAAGTCCTGGAAATAAGAGCACTTTCCCAACTGCCCACTGCATGAGGCGAAACCTGTACCACCGATAAATCTCAAAATCGGAATTTCCCAAAATTTGCTACGGGCCATGCTTTCCACCTGGCTACACTACCGCCCCGCTCGACACCCCCCGCTTTTCTCACACAAATTCAGACAGCTGATGTTCGACAATGCTGAAAATCTGGACCCTAAAACATGGGTAGACATGGACCTTTTCTTTAAAATTAGCCGCCGAAATTGTCGAAGCCTATTTCTACCTGTTTAACTCTCTTTCAATGTTGAGATCCAGAGATTTGGAAGCTCGCGGTCATCCCCTCTTCAAGGGGGTGACATCTAGATCAAGTTCGAACATACCATCTCCCTCCTTTCGAAGTATTTGAAAGCCAGTTTAAAAAACAGTCACGACCATTCGAATCCCTATACTCTCCGTATGCAATCGTTCCCCAGCTGGTCATGGTGCACCTCAGCCATGCTCAGATCCTAAACCATATATAACCCGATGATAAAAGACGTACTGCGCAGCGTTTCATGACCGGCCAGCTTTCGACTGTCAACACCGCATTTATGGCAATAAAGCCTTGGTTTCTCCAATGACTGCCTCCCTGGTCACCAACTTCTCGAAGAGTTAATGTGTCAAATCGGAGGCTGTTGTCTGGACCTCTGCCGTCTCTATGGGGGGCCAAGGGTTCAATTCTCGGGCCGACTCTATTCTTGTGTAATCAATGAGTCCTCTTGCGTTGGTGAAGCTAAATCCCCCTCTATGTGGACGACACCATTTTTTTCTTGGCCCTTCTTGGAATGTTTTTAAAAAACCCCCAACGGGTTCAACCCCATAAACCCCCCTTCCAGCCTCCAACTGCTTTTAAACATAGAAAAAACTAAATGCTACAGCGCAAGTCTCTTGGGGTATTCTCTATAAGCTTGGCACATCTAGCCACGGGGTTTTTGCCCTTTCTTCCAAGGAAAAAACTGTCCAGCTCCTTAAAGTTGGAGGTTCCGTGGTGTACAGCAATTTTGTCATCCCAAGGATTCTAAAAGGAGGGGAGGTTGGGCTTTGACTGGGCCCCTCCAAGACATGAAATGTTTCCTCTTAAACCACTCGAGTTTTGCTTTTGCAGTAGCTTGGGGTCATTTCCTGTTTGAAGGGGAACCCTTTAATCCCGCTCAATCTTGGAAGACTGAAAAGGTTCCATCAGAATTTCCCGTATTTAGCGCCATCCATCATTCCTTAAATTCTGACAGTTTCCCAGTCCCTGCCATGAAAAACATCCCCATATTTTGCTGCCCCCACCATGCTTCACTGTGGGGATGGTGTTCTCGGGGTGGTGAGAGGTGTTAGGTTTGCGCCAGACATAGCATTTTTCCCTTTATGGCCAAAAAACTCAATTTTTGTTTTCATCTGACCAAGTACCCTCTTCCATATGTTTGGGGAGTCTCCCATATGCCTTTTGGCGAACACCAAACGTGTTTTTCTTATTTTTTTCTTTACAAAGGCTTTTTTCTGGCTTTCTCTTTTCCCTAAAGCCCGCTCTGTGGAGTGTATGGCTTAAAGTTGTCCTATGGACAGATTAAATGCCCAATCGCCCCTGTGGAGCTTTGCAGCTCCTTCAGGATTATCTTTGGTCTCTTTGTTACCTCTCTGATTAATGCCCTCCTTGCTGGGCCTGATTTTGGTGGGGGCCCTCCCCCTTGGCAGGTTTGTTGTGGGGCCATATTCTTTTCCCGTTTTTAATAATGGATTTAATGGGGCTCTGTGGTATGTTCAAAGTTTTTGATATTTTTATAACCCAACCCTGATCTGTACTTCTCCACAACTTTGTCCCTGACTTTGGAGAGCTCCTTGGTCTTCATGGTGCTGCTTGCATGGTGGTGCCCCTTGCTTAGTGGGGTTGCAGACTCTGGGGCCTTTCAGAACAGGGGTAATAATTTTTGAGATCATGTGACAAATCATGCAACACTTAGATTGCACACAAGTGGACTTATTTAACAAATTTTGTGACTTCTGAAGGTAATTGGTTGCACGCGATCTTATTTAGGGGCTTCATAGCAAAGGGGGTGAATACATTGCCCCGCACCACTTTCCGTTATTTTTTTTTTTTCATTTCACTTCACCAATTTGGACTATTTTGTATATGTCCATTACATGAAATCCAAATAAAAATCAATTTAAATTACAGGTGTAATGCACAAATAGGAAAAATGCCAAAGGGGATGAATACTTTTGCAAGGCATTGTATTAACCTTTTATTCAATGCATTTTTATGGGCTAATAAAGTAAAGACTAATTCAATGTTTCATCAAATCATTTTTATTTAAAGAAAACGCACTACCCTGCACTATGCCCAATAGAAAAGATACAAACCTCCCCAAAGTATAACACATTTGGACCACCAGAAAACGTTATAAATATGGAAACCAAAGCATTTGAAATGCATTTTTCTTCCAGTTATTCATTCACTTTCAAAGATCCTCTGAAAATTAGTTGGTTGTTTTTAGAGGAGCTAGTATGAAAAATGAAAAGGAGAGACTCAAAAATGGCATGAAGGTCTTTCCTCAGTGTATTGTAAGCTTGTCTCTCTAACATTAACCATGCTGTGCTGGTTCACCCCTTTTTCTTTTTAACATTCTTAACAAATGAAAATGCTTTAACAATAATAATAATAATAATAATAATAATATAATAAAAATAAAAATAAAAATAATAATAAAATAATAAATGTGT